CCCTGACCTTTGCCACCAGAAGTCCCTCTCCTTGCACCCTGGAAATTCTCCTTTTGAGAAGGAGGATTGCTATTTTAGAACCAGAAAAAACCAAATCATACATTAAAAGTCCAAACACCTGCTATGACACATTTTAATTTTATTACAAAAAATATTTTTGTCATGATTTGTGTTTGTGTGCTATATATACAGGTGATTGTATAATAACTCAAAGATAGTCATAGTGTGTGGGTGTGGGTGGAATTTGTGAGGGGGTATGACTGTGTAGGGGGCATAAGTTTTGTTGGGGCACTGTATGACATTTGTGGGGTGTGAGTGTGTGGCTCTGGGACACTGTCCTCTCCTGCAGTCAGTTCAGGCGTGTGTGCATGTGTGTGTGTAGGGACCCTCCCTACACTCCTCCCCATGAAGCAGCAGCAGGCAGGGGTGCTGGTGCCTGGTTCCAGCCACTGCTACACATCTCAGTGAGGAGTGCATCCCCTCCCGGACCGTCCATATTGCTAGTGCTCCCCACACTCTGCAGGGCATGGGAGGGAAGCCCCAGGCACTGGACCAGCTACCAGGACTGCATGCCATGGGGGAAGTGTGGGAGGGGTCCTTACACCCCCACCCTGCCCAGCCCAGGTCTGCCCCACCCCTGCCTTTGCCCCCTCGGCATGGGCTCCGCACTCCTGCCCAGCTGCAGCCCCACCCCCCGATTCACTGCCTGCTGCCCGGAGGGAGCGGCGTGCCAGGGAAGGCTGCAGCAGCAGCTCTGTCCAGTGCTGGCTGGGCTGGGCCCGTCCACCCATGAGGGTGGGAGTGAGGCATAATAGTGTATGTTGGGGTGGAGGTATGTGCCTTTCTCCCACCCTCACAGGCAGAAGGGCTGGGTGGGGCACAATTTGTTGAGGGGAGAGGTACCTTGGGCCAGATGAAAGTGCCTGGCAGGCTGGATCCACCCTGCAGGCCATATTTTGCCCACCCCTGGCCTAGGTGCATAGCTTAGTGTTGCTACAGGTACTTTTTTATAGAGCTGGGCTAAAGAGTCTGAGGAAGGTTTGCCAGCGGTTCTAAAAGAGTTCAGCAGCAAAGCTAGGAGCAGAACCTGGAAGGAGTATTTCTTGTCTGTTGAGCAAGCAGCCAGACTAAACTGGGAAATAATAATGGGACAGCTTTTCTTGTAAGCGTGTTCATGCTGCTTTTCAGGTATGTTTGTTTTACTGTGATACAAATTAACTCTGTGTGGACTTTAACTATTAGTTTAATACAATTACCAGATACTATATCAAACAGCCCTGCAGTGAGCCACTGGTTCTAAAAAAGGTGATATTTCTGTGGCTGGTGGGGAAAAAGGGAGGAGTTGCAGATTAATTAGTTGTCAAGGGCAAATTAGTACATTGGTGACTGCTCAGTCTACTCACTGCATTTCATATTTTTTCCAAGAGAAGGAAATTGGAGACCTAAAGCTTCAGTAACTTCTATTAGACCCTCTTAGTTATGTGTTATTGCCTTCTTAAAGCTAATGACCACCTATTGATTAATGAAATAATTCCAAGCAAAAGTAGTCCAATGGATCTATAAGTACATGCCCTTATTTTTAATAGACTTAAAAACTTTGTAGCTCAGTGGAATGGATATAATACGTGAAGTACTATGCATGTTAGTACTATCTAACATCCTGTAGACAGAAAAATATAACCATGCACCAATGCCTAACACCCATAAACTAGATTTAACTCAGATAATGAATACAAGATAAAGGATATATTTAATACAAATCATAAAAGCACTAAGTGATATAATCAATGCTGTAATGATTGAATGCAGTGAAAACACTGCAATTCAGTGACACTATTGAGTCAGATAGAGAAAAGCTAGATCAGATATTCTCTACACCCCGGCAAATCAAAAAGCAGGTCTCTGTGATAGTACTCTATTGAAACAAGCTGCGTCAGCAGCTTCTTTGTATCCCTGTGGGAGCTGGCTATAGGCCATTTACATGGGTTAACAGGCTCTGAAGCACAGTCTGGGATTCATTTCCTCATCGTGTTGTACTTCAGAAGCATCCTTGGAACAAAGCACTTTTTACTCTGTCTTAGTTGCAGTTTTCAGAAATTGGCTCAGTAGTAGTGATAAGAAACTGAGTTACTCATGACCCAGATCATATCTTTCTCGGTGTTTGTCAGAGCCAGGTATGCTGCTGGCATTCAATAAATGAGCACAGCAGTGAGGTTTCAAGGTTCTGGCATAATACCTAACCAGCCTGCCATTCTATTAGTAGAAGCAGTAGTACATATTGTAACATGTTGCACCACACGCTCAGATAGACCTACTTAGGTCTATTTAGATTCATTGGGCATGTGCAGATGAGTGCGCACATGAGCTTTGTGGCACCTCAAAGGCTTTTGAGGCACCACAAAACGCACACGGCATACATGAAGGGGTTCTTCTTACTGCATATTTGTAACACAGAGGTAAAATTAGATACCAGGAACTCCTGGTATCTAAGAAAACGCAGCAAAAAGAAGTGGGGTAGCACACATGGCTGCAGCATGCACCACTCAAAACCAGAGCCTGGCCAGCCAGAACCATGCTCCAGCTGCCGGCCAGGCTCCATGCGCCCAGATCACCACTGCTGCAGCCCCGGGAAGCCCCCAGAACCACAGGTAAGACTACTGGGGCCAGCCCAGGAGCTGGCCTCAGCCTCCCCTATCCCACCCTGGGCAATTTGCTGCACACTACAGCACATGTTCAGGAGCATTCCCTGGGGACATGTGGCAGTGGCACAACTATGTGCCACTGCTATTTGTCCCCAAGGAAATGCATGTGCATGTTTGTCTAGACATGCCCATTAGGTTTATTTATATTACTCTGCCAGTAGGAGTCCTGTCTTATATCAGCTTTCTAAAACATATCAGAATCATGTAATGAAGCCATCACACTTTGGATTGAACAATGACTCCAAATGCTTACAAAGTCTAAACTCTTGGCTCATATGGAAGAGATGGTACCATCCAGTTGTTTACCTTTGTGTGTGCTTGTTAGACTTACCAACATTCAAGAGTCCTGTTTAAACTGCAGTACAACTCTCTTTCAAGCTTTCAAAGTCTCTGCTTTGAGTGGGAGGACAAAAGTCATTCACATAATATAATATTGACCCGTTCACATAATATAACAAAGATCCTTTGGATAAGATCAAACTTCCTGAAGGAATGTTTTTCAGATAAAACATAAAATATGAGTAGCAGATTGACAAAAGAGAGGCTCTCACTTCTTGGTATATCTTCAGCGTTGCAGGGACATATGATTGCCTAAGGAACTAAAATGCTTGTGTTACTTAGCAATGCTGTTACTAAGGCTAATTTGAAATCTTCAGTATCCTTCTAAATTACATTCAGAAGCACTGTACAGATGCTCTGAAGAGTTCTCTTAAAGGCAGGTATCAGATTAACACTTAACAATTGAAATAAATAATAAAGCTGTTGCTCTACCACATTATATGCTATTGAAATATTTTAACATAACAGATGAGAAATCCGTGGAACTCCTTGCTTCAGTATATTAAGAAAAATTGCTCACCAACATCTGGAAAGGGATTGAACATTTATACAAATGAGAACATTTACGATAATATTAGAATGAAATGTACGAGGAATTTACACCGTCCCACTTCCAGTTTTACATCTGCCACAACCTGTCTTGAGCTAACAAGATTCATAAGGTCCATAACCATCCATTAATGGCATTTTCAAAACTCTTTGATGCATCTGGTATGACTCACTATCAGAAACAGAATTCTGAATTAGGGGCTATTTTTCTGGTCCATCACCTATATTAGGAATAGACAGTACCAGTATGAAAACTGGTACCATCTGTTCCTGGACTTGGAGTGCTCACTCTTCCAAAGTGCTCAGTGCTGTGGCTACTCTTGAACTTCGATCTGTAATAATGAACTCGGTGATCTTGAAATTAAGACTGTGCATAATGATTCACCAGCTCAAATATAAAGTGCCCAGCACCTTGAAGGTTCAAGCCTCATTATAATATTATTCATCTATCAAGTATCTGAGTAATCTTGAATGAATCAAGACTCATGACATCCTTGTGCAGGAGGTTGTTGCTCTTTTTAGGATTGTTGGGTAAAATGGAACCTAGGCTCACACCAACTTTGCTTTTGGTTCTGCAAGGTGAAAAACACTATTTTTTTAAAAAACTTCTCTGAACAGATGAGGTGTCAGAAGGGCACAGCTTGTACAAGCCTTCCTGAAACTTGGACTGAAGATCTGATTTCCTGCCAGTTTTGGGCAAGTGTCTTATGGGAATGGAAGATCAGGAGTCTGTGTGGTCTGAAACACTAGTACTACCTGCAGTCATGTCATGGCATCTAATGAAATAAGCCGTCTCCTTGTGAAAGCTTTTACTGTACATCTCTAATTAAGTCTATAACAGGGGTAGGCACTGGATCCAACCTGAGGAGCTGGTGAGCTTTTCCTGTGCCTTTGCCTGTTCTGTGACCAGGCAGCAAGTAGCTGCACTAGGGCTGGGCAGCTGGAAGCTGTGCCCACACTGCCACTGTTTCCCCCACCCTCTGCACCCTGGCTGCTGTGTGGGCACAGCGTCCAGCCAATGTGGAGCTGCGCTGCAACTGGGAGGGGGGTGGGAAGGGTATGGGGAGAAGCAGTAGCAGTGAAGACGCAGCTTCTGGCTGCCCAGCCCCATTGCAGCTCCCCATTGGCTGCAAGCTCCCAGCTGCTTGTCCCTATGTGGGTACAGGCAAAGACCTCCACTGACAAAGCCACCCAGCATGGATGAATTGAAGTGGAAGCCAGGTTGTTCTGGTCTATGTCTTGTTAAAAGTTGACAGCTGCTGGTCTATCGGGTGCAAATCTACCCTGCCTTCTGCTTGACTTCAGACTATCACAGCTAACTAGCTCTCTCTGAAACACTAGGCCATTTGTATAGGTTCATAAGTGCGGTGTTGATTTTCAAAAAGTTTTTTAGATGAAACATCAGAAACTCCTCTGAACCTTCTTGAGCATATTCCTTACTGCAGTGCCTCCTCCTTCCCCTGCCCCCTTTTCAATCATGTCCATTAAAAAAAAAAGGCAACTTAGAAACCTTACCACTGAGTCATCTATACTCACACTCCTAGAAAACACAATCACACCTGGACAGATTTCCTCAGCTCCTCTTCCTTCTGAGGCATGAACCTGATTGCAATGCAATTTTAGAGTGTGAATTGTTTGGATGAGACTTTAAATACCAAGGCTCTTCATGGCTGCTAAAGTTCCCCTGGCAAATAGTATGGCTTTGACTTAGTCTCCTTTGGTAAAAAGTCTCTCCTCTCTTTTGTTGTACAATAGTCTGTGAGTTAGTTATGAAACGGTGTCTCACTCCTGCAGTAAGATACATAGGTGAGGTTCCCTGATGCTGTACGGAAGGCATTGTGTAAATGTATTGTCTTACAGCCCAGCTCTACAACAGTGAAGTGGTACAAACCCCGTTTACGGATGGAACCAAAAGAACAAATCTAGAAGCTGAAGCAGATCTGTGAGAAACACATAACCATTCATGAAGGCTGCACCCAGTAGCAAACCTCCCTCTACTAAGTCCTGAGCGAATGGAAACATGGTTGAACTGACGCACAGTCATTTGAACCGTTATGTTAATGGCTTGTAAAAACGAAAAGACCTCCCCTAGGACCAGGTAGACTTTAACCTGGAATTCAGAAGTGCTGAAGACCCATGTCATCCTTCACACAGGTATGAGGATTGAGCCTTCATTATTGAACTTCAGATAGCAATGGCATCTAGGAACACAATGATCACATACCTGGAAGGTAATGTTCAGTAGTGTGCCTACAGCCCTGATTCCAGTCACTAGAACAGGCTGCCAATTCCAGAGTCTTTTTGGGCCTGGACTCACCGAGTGGATGTACATGTAATTGATTGTTCTTAGTACTCATTCCAGGACTCTCCAAAAGGCAGTTACTCTATTGGTTACTCATTAGTTCTAGCTTGTTTTTCCTTCCTGATTTTTTTAAAATCAGTTTCAGTAGAATAAGTTATTTGTTTATTGGGGGCTCAAAATAAACATTTTCTGCAAAGTTAGATATAAGGCCAAACCAAAACTCTGTATTCAAACACTATTGAAATTGTGCTCAGAATCCAAACTTTGGCTTGGCTTAACATTTTCTAGCTGATCCCATATCTCCAGCTAAACTCTTACGTCCAGATAATGATGAGTTGTGAGAAACTGCAAGTCGAGCTCTGAATGCCGCACTTTGGGCCCCTCTAGATGAAGGCAATTACACACTCATGAAAACCACATTCTACTTTTGATAGTGTTCTCTCAAATGCCAAACAAACTAATGCACTACTGCCACCTCGTGTTACAAAAGAAGAACAGCACCAGTTCATTAGCTAGTTACCGTAATAGGAATCTGGAAGTGGCAGTGCATTCAGACTGTCACCTCATTGGTGCAGGAGCCATTTCCATGTTATGCACTCAAACAGTGCCTGATCTGTTGCTATCATTTCTAGGTGCTAGCTCCTAGGTGATGCATTTAATTAACAACAACCATTTAGCTCCTGGTGAACTGAGAGACCCTCAGACAGGTACAAGATGGGATAAATTAGGGACTCTTCCACAGGGAGAAATAAAATATGGCTTCCTTTTGATAGACAAAATATCCATAGTATTGGGGTGTGCGCAGCTGGTAATAATCTGCCATCTCTACTCTAGTGCTTTTCTATTTTGTGAACACAATGGAAGCTCAGAATACAATGAAGAATTTGCTCCGTTTTTGTTATTCTTTATGGCTATATGCCTCTTCCATTTGAAGTACAGTATTTACCCAAATGCAAGGCAACTTTGAATTTAGGATGACCCCCAATAATTACATTCTATACGTGGAAAATATATAAATGCATTATAACTTTCCCTGTATAGAATCTAAGTATTGAAAGGTCATCTTAAATTTGTCTGCTCCACTGCTGCAGCAGGGCAAGTAGCAGCAAGGGGGTAGGTGTTGGGGGGGGAACTCAAGTGGCCTAACTCCCACCCTTTGTTCCCTGCTGCCTGCTCCCCCACCCCCCAGTGCCTGCATGGCCTGGTACCTGTCCCCTCCTGCAATCCCTGCATCCCCCTGCCACTTGCCCCACTACTTATTCCTCCCTCCCATCTGCCCCCCTCCCATATCTGTGCCCCCTGGTGCCTGTACACCCATCCTCCCATCCCAGTGTCTGCATCCCCCATACCTGCACCCCCAGCCTCTCCCACACTCCTAATGCTGTTGACCCATTGTCAGGGCTCCTGGTCTAGCTCTGGCCCAGGGCATGCAGCACATGATCACTGAAGCTCCCTTCTGGCCAGGTAGCAGTGACAGCAGGTCCAGCCCTGTCCAGCTCCCACCCCAAGCCCTGATCAGGGCCACAGCAGCTGCCTGCCCTGTCCCTGCCCCTGCCCCCCAACTTGTATTTGAATCCAAGACAAGCCCCATGTCCATATTTAATGGGGGGAAAAACCTTGTCTTGGATTTGAGTAAATACAGTAAATTGTTGGTCCAGTAACATTTTAAATTGGTAGCTGTCAAGAAAAACTTTTATCTTCTGAGTGTAAAGTGCACATTATTTGTTATCATTGCTTCACATACTTTGGAGAGAAAATTATCACCATCAGCTCCCATCTGAAGTCAATGATATGTACTAAGTAAGCTAAACAAAATTTTATTTGATGTGGAAATGCAAGGTTCTGTATTTACCCATTAAAAAGTCTTCAAAAATCTGTATATTTATATTATTTCCTTGACAAAAGCAATGATCCGTGAAATTAAACCACTAGTAACAGTTCAAAAGGAAGTGTCCTTTTAAAATTTACCAGTAAAATATTTCTTCCATGAATGGGCCCATCAAGAGTTCACTTGGTGTCACACCAATCATGACACACGAGAACCTTGTGCAATACCACCAGGAAAATATGTCTGTCAAAGGTTTTCTTTAGTTTGAACTATGCCTCGGTGAAATGGTTACTGTAACAGGGTGGCCTCCTTGTCAGGTCTTCGCCAGCCACCCTGCTCCTGAGGTAACCACCTGCTTTGCTCAGCTACCACACCTTCATGGAAAAATGTGAGCGTTGTTACTAAGGCGGTAGGCTATCTGTTGCTCGTCCTGCTGACAAGGGCCTAATACCCTCTCCGACCTCCCCTCCATGGGTCCCATGCTTCGCAGATGTTAGTCTAGTGTTACTTCTCCGGCCTATGGCTGTAGCAAACTGGGCACACAGTTGTAACTCTTTTCTACAGCTCCAGAGGGCCACTCACATGCTACCCCTCTCACACATGCTCCCACTCATCCCACCTGGCCTCATCCAGCTTTGGGCTTAGCTCTTCTCTCTTCGGTCAGCCCCAGCGCAGTCTGTTGGGTGTCTCCCACTACCCTCACCTGAGCATTGACTGAGCAATTCTACAACTGTAGGCCTATTTCACTTCTAGGCCCTTGCCAGGCCACTATGCCCCACTGGGCCTCCTCACTCACCCCCACTCACGGGGCTTCTCTTTGTCGCCCTTCTCACTCAGGGTCACTCTTGCACCCCCAGGCTTTCTCTTGCCACCTGAGCATGGCCCCAGGTCCCTCCTCCAGCCTGAGCTCTGCCTCAGGGCTCCTTAATGAGCCCTGTGCTCCCCCTGCTCATTATAACACCACCAGGGATGTGGGGCTGAGGTTATAAGGCACACTGTCCTGCCTTATGCCAGGGAGGTAAGTGGCCTGGCATTTCGTGGGGGCTCCCACACCATTAGGAGACCCACCAGACCACACTTCCCTGGCAGGGTGCAGTTTTACATCTTACCCAGAACAATGGGGTCACCTCCACCCCATAGCCCCTGCCCTAACCTTCTGACTGTGGCTGGAGCAACGTCTCAGCCTGATGTTTCCTCCTTCCTTCTGCAGCAAACTGCAGCTCAGTTTATATCCCTGGGTCCAAATGGGCCCAGCTTATATTCCTGGGTCCACCTGGCTGCTGCCTGTTTTCTGCCCTTGAAGTGGCAGGCACCAAAGGTGCCCTGCCACAGAGGTGCAGGAGGTTTGTTTTGGATTTGTTTTCCTTCTTTTTTTTTTTTTTTTT